TATTCTCAAACTATTCTAAAAAATATAAGAGGAAGGAAAACTTTCAAATTCACTCTATGAGGCCAGTATCATCCTGATACCAAAACCAGATAAAGATGCCACAAAAGTGGGAACTACAGGCAAGTATCTCTCATGGATATAGATGCAAAAATCCTCAACAAAAAATGAGCAAACAGAATCCAACAATATATTTAAAAAAATCATACAACATGACTAAATGGGATTTATTCCTGGGATGCAAGCGTGATTCAATATTCACAAAACAATCAACGTGATACATCACATCAATAAGAGAAAGGATAAAAACCATATGACCATTTCAATAGATGCAGAAAAAGCATTTGATGAGGTACAACATCCATTCATGATAAAAAAAATAAAATAAAAACAACCCTCTGCAGAGTAGGTCTAGAGGAAATATATCTTAACATAATAAAGGCCTTATGTTAAAAGCCCATAGCCCAACACCATACTCAATGGTGAAAAACCAAGAGCTTTTACCCTAAGGTCACAAACAAGACAAGGATGTCCACTCTCACCACTTTTATTCAATATAGTACTAGAAGTCCTAGCAACAGCAATTAGACAACATAAAGAAATAAAAGGCATCCAAATTGGTGAGGAAGAAGTAAAACTCTCATTATTTGCAGATGACATGATACTCTGTATAGAAAACCCAAAAGACTCCACCAAAAAACTACTAGAACTGATAAATGAATTCACTAAAGTCCACAGGATACAAAATCAACGTACAGAAATCTGTTGCATTCCTACACACTAATAATGAAGCAACAGAAAGAGAAATTAAGAAAACAATCCCATTTACAATGGCATCAACAACAATTAAATACCTAGGAACAAACTTAACCAAGGAGGTGAAAGACCTACTCTAAAAGCTATAAAACACTGATAAAAGAAATTCAAGATGATGCCAAGAAATGGAAAGACATTCCATGTTCATGGGTTGGAAGAACAAATATCGTTAAAATGTCTATACTAGCCAAAGCAATCTACAGATTTAGTGCAATCCCTATCAAAATACCAACAGCATTTTTCACAGAACTAGAACAAACAATCTTAAATCTTTTTGAAGATTTTATTTATTTATTTTAGAGAGAGAGTGTGTGTGTGCAAGTGGGGGGAGAGGAAGAGGGAGAGGGAGAGGGAATCCCAGGCAAACTCTGTGCTGAGTGCAGGGCCCAATGCAGGGCTCGATCCCTAACCCTGAGGTCTTGACCTGAGCCAAAATCAAGAGTCAGACACTTAACCAATTGAGCCACCCAGGCGCTCCCAAACAATCCTAAAATTTGTATGGAACCACAAAAGACCCCAAATAGCCAAACCAATCTTGAAAAAGAAAAGCAAAATTGGAGATATCAAAATTCCGTATCTCAAGTTACATTACAAAGTGGTAGCAATTAAAACTGTATGGTACTAGCATAAAAATAGATGCACAGATCAATGGAATAGAAAAGAAAACCCAGAAATAAACCCATTATATGGTCAATTAATCTTCAACAAAGGAGGAATGAATATACAATGGAAAAATAACTCTTCAACAAACGGTGTTGGGAAAACTGGACAGCAACGTGAAAAAGAATGAAATTGGACCATTTTCTTTCACCATACACAAGAATAAACTCAAAACTGATTACAGACCTAACAGTGAGACCTGAAATCACAAAAATCCTTACAGAGAGCACAGATAGCTCTCTCTCCAACATGGGATGTATCAGCATATTTCTAGATATGTCTCTTGAGGCAAGGGAAATAAAAGCAAAAATAAACTATTGGGACTACGTCAAAATAAAAATCTTCTGCATAGTGAAGGAAACAATCTACAAAACTAAGAAAACAATCTACAAATGGGAGAAGATATTTACAAATGGCATATCCAATAAAGGGTTACCATCCAAAATGTATAAAGAACTGATACAACCTAATACCCAAAAAACAAATAACCCAGTTAAAAAATGGGTAGAAGACATGAACAGACATTTTTCCAAAGAAGACATCTAGATGGCCAACAGACATATGAAAAGATGCTCAATATCACTCATCATCAGGGAAATGCAAATCAAAACCACAATGAGATATTATCTCACATCTGTCAGAATGACTAAAATCAAAAACATAATAAACAGCAAGTGTTGGCAAGGATGTGGAGAAAAAGGAACTCTTGTACATTGTTGGTGGGAATGCAAACTGGTGCAGCCACTATGGAAAACATTATGGAGGTTCCTAAAAAAATTAAAAATAGAACTACCCTATAATCCATTAATCACACTACAGGGTATTTACCGCCCCCCAAACAAAACAAAACAACAACAAAAAAAACACTAATTGAAAGGGATACATGCACCCCTGTGGTTATTGCATCATTATTTACAATAGTCAAACTGCAGAAGCAGCCCAAGTATCCACTGATAGATGAATGGATAAAGAAGATGTGGTATATATACAGTGGAATATGGTTCAGCCATAAAAAAGAATGAAATCTTGCCATTTGCAACAAAATGGATACAGCTAGAGAGTATAATGGTAAGCGAAATAAGTCAGAAAAAGGCAAATACCATATGATTTCAGTCTTATGTGGAACTTAAGAAATCAAACATAACAAAGAAAAAAAATGTTTGAAATAGACTCTTAACTATAGAAATCTGATGGTTACTAGAGGGGAGGTGGGTGGAGGCATGGGGGAAATGGGGTTGAGGTAGGAAGAGTACACTTATCATGATGGAAAATAAGCTGAAATAAAAAGACAAAATTTTTTTAATTAAAAAAAAAAACACCACAGCCCTATTTAAGGCTCTTTTAAAAAAATAACGATACTTCTCTCAGATAAGGATTGCAAATTCTAATACCTGTAAGAGTCATTAACTCAAGAGCATCATTTAAATGGAGAATATCACCTAAAAAATAACTTTGGGCAAAAACCAACAAATGTGTGTCTCTAGAAAGGAAACTAGGTGGTAAGGGACAAGTGTAGGAGATTTCCTTTACATGCAGAATATTTTTTATACCTTCAAATTTCATATAAAGTACATTATTTATCTATAAAATTTGCATCCTTGCTCCAGCTAACCATCACTATTAAGAAATGCAGGCCTGGGCTTGCCAGATCTGATTTTTCAGAGAGGTTAGAAATGGGAAAATTCAGATTTTTATGTAAAATTCATAAGTTTTAAATGTTGACTTTATTCAGAATTTAGCACACAGGGCAGGCCAAACAAAACACACCTGCAAGCTATATCTGGCTCACAGGCCAACCAGTCTACCATCTCTAATCAAAAATTTGATGTGTGGCTTATGATTCCAAAACTATAAATATAATTTAATGGGGGAAAACTTCAAAAAGAAAACTCCGACTTGTGGATGAAACCATATCCCCTCTTGCCCCACCATCTATTTAGTCACTATTGCTCTCTTAAACTTTCCCTTCTCTTCCTGGGTCTTTGAAAAGGCTATTAATGTTTGACCAGCTAAAATGCAAAGCAGGTCAGATCTCATCAAGGAATCTGCCCATTATCCTAGCATCTGCTCTGTTTTAAAGAGTGAAATTTCGGGTCAATTTCAAGTTGCAATTCATCTAGCCAACAAGAGAGAAGTATATGAATAATTTCTAGATGGGTAGAAATATTCCCTCAGCAAACCAGTCAAACAATTGCATGGTTGAAAAGACCTGCAAGTTATTTTAACCTTATCATCAGGCAGTACAATGCTACCCAAAAGATAAAATGGCAGCCGTGATCAACATAATGTTCTGAACCATGTCTGGGAACCAATCACAATTTTGGGAAAAATCTCAAATTCTCTTTAAGTTCAGCAGAGATGCTGTTTATCTTCTGAAACTGAAGCTAAGAGACTCTATGTGGGTCTAACTATTGGTTATAAGTGGAGTACTACATCTATTGAATGCCCAGAGGACACCAAGGCAAGTTAAAGAAGAACTGGTTGCAGCTTTTTTTTTTTAAGTTTTCTTTATTTAAAGAATCTTTACACCCCATGTGGGGCTTGAACTCATGACCCCCAGATTAAGAGTTGCATGTTCTTCTGACTGAGTCAGCCAGGCACCCCAGAACTGATTTCAGTTTTAAAAGTAGTACGAGAGATGTACTATCTTGCCTCTCTGGTGTGCCTAAAACTCTCACCTCAATCTGCTGAAAGTTTCAAAGGATTTGACTCTGGTAGTTTTGATTTTCTTTACTCAGTGCTACTAGCTCCAATCTCCAAACAGCAGCCTTTGTTTGCCACAAGCTAGTCCAGTATCGGGCCTGAATGTCTACTCAATGGCCGCTGGGGCCTGCCCCAATGGTGAAGACACACAATCCCAGGCAGGGGTGGGAATGAGGTGGGAGTCAATAAATAGGACAATAGGACTAATGGCATCTTTGCAAGTGTTCCACTCCTGTGGGACACAGGCACTCAAGGTTTTCTTTATGTAGCTTGTGGAAATGATAAGACAGGCCACATTTCTCCTAAGAACTTCTTCATGGAAATTAAGATCTGCAATATATTCTAATTGACAAGCAACACATAACTCTCTCAGGTTGTGACTGGGGAAGCCATTTTATAGTAGAGTTCAGTGACCCAAGAAGATGTATCCAATTATGAAATAAAAGCCAGGCATGTTCTCTCTGAAGAACATGGCCAGAGCCCAGTCTTCCCTGTCTTACATTCTGATGTGTGGACATCAGAGACAACTCTCCCATGGCCACAGGCATGCTGTTCTTCAGAAAGGACCAGAGGTGCTTGAAAATAGATAATGCATACTCCCTTTAATTATGTGCATTTGGCACCTACTATACAACAATCTGCACACATCAACATCCAGCGACTACAGAAGGTTCCTTCTCTGGGAGCTAGCAGACTTATTTAGTGATGTATGTTCTAAGGAAAAAAATCAGAATTTACCGCTTCCTTACTGTTCCATAAATCTGAGTATCAAGTAGGTTTCAAACACACCAGTCCTCAGTATAGAAAGCTCGCTTTATTCTTACCTCAGCAGCTTGGGTCTCTTGATGCAGCAAAGTGAGACCAGTCAAGTCTTCTAAGAAGGAATGTGAAGAATTAAACACCTTCGCTAGGAAGTTAAATCCTTCTCGTTCATACTGATCAAGAACCTGTAAAACATTTATATTTTTTAAAAGGGGCTGGTTTTAAAAGCATGTTACAAGATTTTCACTTCTATAAGCACTTGTCAAAAATGAAACTAAAACTAGAATTAAACATGTGGATAATAATGCAATCTGGAAGGCAAAAACTGGGAGGGCTTAGGATTTATCATTTTCCCTTCTTAGAAACAATGACAATATCCTTTTCCAATTCTGATGACAATTTTTCTTAAAATTTGTTTCATGACAATTCACTAAAAATTCTAGAAAAGCTGGGGTTCCTACTTCTAAAGTTCACTTGTTAGGGAAAAAAAAAAAAAAAAAGGCCAGAAAAGAGCCAAGAAAAAAATTAAAGAGGATAAAAACAAAGAGAGGGACAAATGGATGGGAAATGTGATCTACCGGCTAGCCATATGTTTTTTTTTAAAAACAGAATAGTTTAAAAACGTAAAAATAAATTTCACCAGGCATGTCACAAAAGAGGATATCCAAATGGCCGATAAACATATGAAAAGTTGCTCAACATTACAAGTGGTTAGGGAAATGTAAACTAAAACCATAATGAAATCTTACTTTATATACACCAAAATGGCTAAAATAAAAAAGAAGATACCAAGTACTGGCAAGAATGTAGAACAACTGGGATTCTCATGGGAGTGCAAAATGAGAAAGCCATTTTAGAGGCTTAACACTTATATGCCCTGTGATCAAGCAATTTGACTCCTAGATATATATACCCTACAAAAAAAGTATGCGGTTGTATATCAGAAGACCCAAAGTGTCCATAGCAGCACTACTCATGATGGTCCAAACTAGAGACTACTCAAGTGTCCATCAATAGTAGAATGAACAAAGGGGTATATTCATGCAATAGAATACTACTTAGCAACGAAAACAACTATATCTACTTGCAACAATATAGATAATTCTCACAATGTTAAAAGAAAGAAGAGAGAAGCATTATTTACTGCACGATTACATTTAAAAAAAAAAAGAACAGGCAAAACGAATCTAAGTGAGGAGAGTGGGTTACCCATGGAGGGACTGTAACTGAACGGGGCACAAGGGAGCTTCTAGATACTGATAACATTTGTTTCTTTATCTGGGTGTTGGTGTACTTTGTGAAAAGCCATCAAGCCCTTTTTTTGTATATATGTTGTCCTTCGATAAAAAGATTCAAGGCCTGCAGTCTTGACAGGAGAACAATTTGAGAATGTCTGAGTTCTCAGAAGCAAACAAAATAATGATTATTGTATTTAAAAATTCAAAGATCACAGGAATTGTGAGTGTTAGGAAATAGTGAACCAGAATGTCTCTAAAATTCTCTCAGAACTCGGAAGAAATAAAGAGATGAATGTATCAAAAAGCAGACATTGAAGATCAATCCAAGAAATCAATTACACATGAAGAGAAAGGCTGGAGAAGCAGTAACACAAGAAATAGAAAACAATTTTTAAAAAATTTCTCCATAAAGAAACAAAAATGTATAAATCCTTAATGCAGCAATTCCACTTCAAAGACTTTTCATACAGATATAGTTGTTCATGGGGAAAAACAATGATATGTAACGATGCTCACTGAAACACTGTTTGCAGCAACAAAAGATTAGAAGTGACTACTCTTTAATAGGGGCTGGTTAACAAAATTATGGTGTATTTACAATCAAGGGCATAATCTAGATCCGTTAAAAGAATGAGGTAGCTCTATAGTATTGATGTAAACTTATTTCTAAGACATACAGGTATATTAAAAGCAATGTCCAGACCATGTGTCTAGTATTAATGTCTTAAAAAAATAAAGACAGAGGAGGAAAGAGGAAGAAAGGGAAATGTAGCTGTGTGTATGCTTGTTTATGCATGTAAGATCTCTGGAAGAATACAGAGAAGTCTCTATTTTTTCCCCTAGTGCTGGAGGAAAGTCTCAGAAGAGGAGGAGGAGGAAGAGCTCTGAAGCCCTGATAGAGCTGGAGCTAGGAGGGGCAGCCCTCCTTCAGCTACAGGCAACAAAGCAGCAGTAGTGATAAGTTAGGAGAGCAGGGAACTGGGGACCGAGAAGCTCTGGGGTCTGACAGCAGGCAGCAAGGTCATCTGCTGCCAGAGAAGGGGATGGGTGGGCCATGGAGCTTGAGGGGGTAGTGATGGTCTGGGACAGCTGCGTGGGGAATGTGAGAAAAGGAAGTGGAGGCCCCTGCTCAGGACAGAAAATATACATTTTGGGAGAAATGTGGTTAAGGACCCATCTAAGCTTGGGCACTGACAGGATAAAGCTAACCGAGAGGTCAAAGAAATTGAGGGGCTGCTGAGTACCAGTGAAGGGAGCCAAGGAAGGGAAGGTAAGACCAGGCCGGAGGGAACAGATACACTGGGGATCATGGAGGAGCAAAGGGTGATCAGTACGCCTCAAGGTACACAAAGCAAAGCCTTTGGTTGATGAGCCCCAGTAAATTAATCTGACAACCCAATGCCTGGATAAAAAGGCACTTAGTAACTGAATCCCTCAGTAATAAAGAGATTCCTTACAAACAGGAATTTTATCTTAGGAAAAATATGCATGAAAATTAAGTGATCTTTTTCAAAATGATAAATACTGTGTGCTTAAGTGATCACTTATTTCTGAATCACTAAGCTCACTAATTAACTACTCTGTGCCAGGTTTTCAATAAGGTAAAAGAAGAAACAGGCTTGAAAAATGGATAAAAACCTTTAAAAAATTAGAATAATTCCAGAGATGATACTTTGTTGGACCTTAATCAACCTTTCAGATTTCAAGCCCATGTTTCCACAGATAATTTTGCAGTGCTACAAATCTGAATAGCAGAAAAACTAACAGCAAGAGCAGTAGGAGTAAAAGCCTCCCCCATAATCAAGATGTACAGAAAGTTTAATGCTGAAACACTATTCATTGTTCTGGCTTCAAAAATATGTGGAAAAACTTAATCCTCCGGGGGCATATTTAATCATGCAAGAGTTTTCTAGTATTCCCTTTATGTGCTGGGAAGTTAATCTGTATTACGAGTGTAAGCAGCTTATAAAAGGTACAAGGGTATTTTTCCCTACAGTTTGACCTTCTTAAAGGGGAAAATGTGTTTTAAATTATCCCCCACCCCACAAAAAGATACCATTACAATGAATATGAGCACTGCAACAATGTGTCAGTCTACATAAAACATAATGAACCTCCTAAGTAATTATATAATACATGGTACTGAGAAGTGTACACATTACATTTTGATAGGTTATAAGTACTCTAAAGGTACTGGGGGAGTTTGCTAAGTTAGAGAAATAGGACTCTTTTAATACAGGGATATGGGTCCTTTCCTGATGGACATGATTTTCCTTATTTCACTGTTTTATAAGGCTAGGTGAGCTTTACTCATGTCACATTCATACTGCTGGACAAAGATGACAGAATCTTTTTAAGACATGGTTATATGAGTATCCATTCTCTTGCTGAGATTCTTTGTTGACTCTTCACTAGATCAAACCCATACCCCCCAGCTAGGCATTTAAGTCCCTCCAGAACCCTCCAACTTTGGACAACTCTCTGGAGAATGCCTTTCATAGAGTTAAGATTACCTGACAATACCACGCAATGATTTACATTTCATGAGAAGCAGAAGAGATACATGGTTTACAATTCTTGTCTATTCTTAAACAAGGATATGAGGAACTGAGTACTCAACCTAAAAAAAACAGTTTATGTGTTTTCTTCTTTTAGCTTATCTGTTTTCATGCAGTGTCTACAAACCTCTTATTTAAAGTCTCTGTTGTTTAGAAATTGTATTTACTTACTCTAAATGATTTAAAAATACATATGTGTCGTGATTTCTAATATACTCAGGGAAAGGTAGCCCAATATCCCAGATAGGGTAATAAAAGAGTATGGCTGGAAGCCACCAGGACCTTTAATTCCCATCCTATGAAAATCCACAAAAGAAGGGTCAAAACACTCCCATCTGATGGACAGTCACCCAGTAGTCTGCAGAGGCTTTGCTCCAAGGAGGGCAAAACCCTCTGTTTTCAAGTTCTGTTACTAACGGAGCAATTCCATATCACTTTGGATAATGAGCTGGAAGCATCACTAATAAGACCAGGAAACCCCCTGATCCATTTCTGTCTCTTGGTGTCTGGAATTTCTCTCATCATAATAAAAAAGAATCAAAGAGGAGGACAAAAAGCTCTGGTTTCAGCAGCCCTTACAACTACTGTCCCACCTTCACTGCTCCCAGCTCCTTTCTTGTTTCCTCTTGGTGCTAACCACTGAGAGTGACCCCCTGTCTTCCCCATCAAGTGAGATCTTTCACTTCCATCAAAGTTCAGCTCAAGTACCAGCTCCTGCAGCAAGTCTTGCCTGATTAATTCCACTCCCTATGATCTTTTCTTCCCTTTTATATTCTGACCCTACTTTCCAGGGCACACTAAGTTGCCAAAAGAATTGAAGGAAAATGCACACTATCCCTGGTTATCAAGAGTTGATGGCATTTCCAACTATCAACCACATGTTTGGTAACTTTGTTTCTATTTCCATATATCTCAGTGATACAAAGCTGATAATGGATGAGAAAACAGCTTCATATGGAAACATATAGCTATCAATCTAATTAAATCTGCTGCTGTTAACTCACTCTATTGGACATAGGCAGGATTTATAAGGCCAAACTAGAAAAAAAAGAAAGACAAATCTGAGTTCAAGACATGGAACAGTATTACTGGCATACCAAAAATATAGAACAAGTCAGTCTCTTGTTCTTTCCCTAAAGTCACCATATAGTGTACCATCTCAGGCATCCAAATGCAAAATGGGCACAACTATAATTTAGAAGATTTGGAAGAGTTCAAGACAAAACACCAAATAGTATCAACATCAAGATAACTGACTATGGAATAAAAGTCAATGCTTTAGTATTTGGTATAACACATAACTGCATTTAAAAAATCAAGTATTATCTCTCGGTTTTTTCATATACCAAAATCACATTTCTGCTTGAGTTAACTGGGAAGAAGAAAAGA